GAAAAAAATTAATATACTATATATTTTTTTTTGCCAAATTTTTAATAAAACATTTTCTAATGTAAAACTTATTTACAAAAATCTGTATATTAAAAATGTAAATATCCTGTGTTAGTAATTGTAGGACAGCCGTATTAGTGTGGGTATATTGCAGCCATACAGTACATAGCATGCTGCCATGGAAAGGCATACATGGCCTGAGTACTCTAACGACTTACATATTCTGTACAGTACAACAAAAACTATATACAATTTCTAATGGCATTCCCCAAATTATTTTTTCTTAAATTCTGGAGCACACTTTGGACAGTACCATTTTCCTTTTGGCTTTGTGTTCAGTCCAACACAACCAAAGTGAAACCATTCAAATGGGCAGTCTTTATTGTCGCATCCAACCATTTCACCATATGAAACTTGATTGCAGAGACAATAGCGAGGCTCATCTGGGTCGACAGGCACATCAAACTGGGGTGATGGCCCACGGTCACCTTTCTGTTTGGATTTCTTCTTTTTTTTTGCAGGTTTCATATCTGAATTGTCATCTTTCTTTGCTTCCTGAGCTGCCTTCTGGCGCTGAGATCTTTTAAGAGGCTTGTCAACTGTGTGATGGTTTTTATGCTCTTTCTTTGGTTTACTAGGTTCTGGTGGAATAGGTGGCTTCTCCAAACATTCAAGGTGTTCTCTATCCACCTGTATTTGTCTTGCTCGATTTTCAACCAAGTCAACTAATGTAGAGGCAACTTGTAGCTTCTCATCACCAAGTTCTTGACTCTGTATGAGCGCTCGCTGTAGTTGATACATGTATCGCTTCCACTGGTTATTTTCTATATTTTCTGCTGTCATTTTTTGGTATACTTGTTTTATTTCATTCAAAATTGCTGAAAATTAAATTAAAAATGTGTGTTAACAAAGAAAGGTAAGGATTAGAATGTGTAAGCATAATTGTGAAAAATTGTATTATTAAACATAATCATAGCCCAGGCTGAAATATTTATATATTTTACTTTTGAGCTGCGATATTCTGTATCCCCCACAATGCTTGGACA